ATCTATATCTATATCTATATCTATATCTATATCTATATCTATATCTATATCTATATCTATATCTATATCTATCTATCTATCTATCTATCTATCTATCTATCTATCTATCTATCTATCTGGTATTCAGCTTTGTTCAGGTATTTTCCCACGTCATTGTAGTTGTGCTTTTAAAGTTGTAGCAACGTTTCGGCAGAATCTCATCTGCCATCAACAGGCTTCTGCATAGTGTAATTTGGCTTGTTTATGTCCCACTTTTAGTGATTTTACAAATAACTCAAGGCAGCAAACATATCCAGCACACCTTCCTCATCCTATTTTCCCCAGAATAGCAACCCAATAAGGTTGGTTGGCGAGAGAGGGGGAGAGGGAGGGAGGGAGGGACAGAGAGAGAGAGACTAGCCCAAAGTCATCAGTTGGCTTTCATGGCTAAGGCAGGACGTGAACTCTGGTCTCCTAATTTCTAGCCCGATGCCTTAACCACTAGAGCAAACACAATCAATAAAGTGTTGATGCTTAACAAAAAATAAATAAATAGATGTAACATTATAGTATCATGAGAGTCAAAGTTTTCCTTATGCTGTTTTTGACCCAGTGACCAATGCGAAGCAAAAGGCAACATACAGCTATAAGAAAAAATATAGTGACTTTCCTTTAAATTAAATGTGCTTGACTTCCTAGGGACACATTTCTTCTATTTTAGATTATACCTTGTCAAAAAGAAAAGGGAAAAAAAGCCCATTCTGTAATAGCAGCCTACTCCTCCAAGCTTCTGTCACAGATTGCCCCTGTAGTAACTCTGAACCTGGAAAATGGACATGGGGAAGAAAGTAAGAGAGGCAGGACAGATAAACAAGCACATATCCTCCAGTTCCTCCACCTGCTTTTGACAATATAATATCAGCCAAATACATGTTGGTGAGTTTTATAAAAATAGAGTGTAAGAAGCGAGAGATCGAGAGAGAATGTTGAAAAGAAAATTATACTGTAACATATGTTACTTCCTTTATGGTAGACCTTTAGGGGAAAACTGCTTTTTCTTAGGATTCCAGTCTTTATGAAGGGTCCAGAGGAACATTACTTATATGACAGAGCGTTGCCGCAGTGGTTGTGGCAAAGAGAAATTGCGTTAGGACAGGGACAGCTCACAATGACACTTCCCTGGAAGCTCTCTATCATCCACATGTCCTTTCATTATGGGAGAAGTCTTTGCCCTTGAAAGTCCTATAATTGGAAAAGAGCTGTTCAAAGGCATGTTTTCTGTTTAAGGGCATGTTTTCTGTTATATAACCAATATCATTTGTTGTTGTTTTTCCTTTAACTACAGATAACAGCAGCTGGAGGACATCTGAAATTTACTGTTTCATATGACCTCGCTGGGGAAGAAGATATTGCTGAGGCCATCCTTCAGCCCGATGTCATCATAGAGGTAGAATATTATCTCACTAGATATGAATGTGTAAACTGCCAACAGCACACTGTAAGCAGAATCCATAGGGCTAAGAAAGAAACTTCATTGCAGGAGTTCTCTTCCCCAAAAGAGCTGCTGTATGATTTTTATTTCAAAGATGGGAAATAAAACAGCAGAAATACCTCTCCCCTTGAGAGCCAGCAGGCCCTACCCTTTTTATCTTCTGAAAAGTACTTAAGACCTGACTTCTCCTTCAAGAGTTGGTATAGGGTGAGTGAGGTATGCTTGTGTTGGCAGGTCATTCTGATTTTGGTTTTATTGGATTTGTTTTATTGTTTGTATATATTGTTATATACAATAACACACACACACACACACAAATATATATGCATATATAAAAATAAATATACATACATATATAAACATACATATACATACTTACACACAGTCATGTGAAAAAATAAGTACATTCTCTTTGAGTTCTATAGTTTTAAGTATCAGGACTTAGTAAGAATTATCTGGTCCTTAGCAGTTCTTAAAAGTAGGTAAATACAACTTCAGATGAACAACAACACATTGCATGTTACACAGTGGTGAGATTCAAATTTTTTTTACTACCGGTTCTGTGGCATGGCAGGGGAAGGATACTGTAAAATCTCCAGTCAGAGGTGGTATTTGCTGGTTCTCTGAACTACTCAAAATTTCTGCTACCGGTTCTCCAGAACTGGTCAGAACCCACTGAATACCACCTCTGATGTTACACCATATCATCATTTTATGTTATTAGGTGCACAGTTTGTGTGTGTCTGCTTAAAATAAATAAAAGTTAACCTGATTACCTCAAAGACTAGCGCAGGCATGGCTGTGATTATCTGAACAATGATTTACATGTTCTGGAATATTTCTTAGCATTTTGCAATATATATATTAGATGCTGAGCCACCCAGAGTTTGATTTAAAAGTAGAGTAATAACATGCAAACATAGCCATGTCTATGTCTATTATATTTGGATGGTAAAGAAAGGGATTGCATTAATGTTAAGTAATATTCCAGAACACGTAAATCATTCCAGAACATGATAATCACAACCACACATGGGCTACTATTTTAGGTAATCATTGTTACATTCTATTTATTTTAGACAGATGCACACAAACTGTGGGCATAATAACATCCAGAAATGGCACTTAAAGAAACACTTATTGAAAATAAGACCCATTTTTAAATGACATCATTCCTCTGATGCAACTTTGGCTTTGTTTCAGCAAGATGCATAAAGATTCTTCAAATACCCAGAAGAGGTTTCGGCTCATGTCTATGGGCCTTTAGCTATACTAGAAACAGAGTAGAGTGGCTGCTTTATTTCATTGAAATATATGTGTTGGTGTACCTGCATACACATTGGTGGTTTGCTTTACCAAACTGTTTTAAGGAAGTTCAACACACAAATCTTTATTGAATCAAAGCATTTCTTCCAAGCTCTGCATAGAATCACTATTAATTAAAGCATAATATAAAAGTTATCTGAATTGCATACTCTGGATGTAGCATGCGCTACTTATATGTATTCATTTCATTTTATGTTACCTCTGAACCTCTTGATAATGAATGCCGGACATAATTCTCTGTTCATGAAAATATAAATATGTGACATCAGTTTCCTATATAGGTGATCTGATTTACCTTTTTGCATTGACCATGTTTTCCTAGAGACAGTGGCATTGTTTCTGAAGAATACATCATGTATATAAAACACACTACACAGTATGCATTCATATCAAGGTGTTCTGCTCTCTAATAATGCAGCATTGAAACTTGCTTTTTTTAGTGTTTTCATCCTTGTCATTTTTTAAAATTAGGGAAGTGGGTTGAGAATAAGGACTTCGCAGGAAGGGATTCACCTGAATCCATTTGAAGAGCACACAGAAGAAGTCTTACTGAAGCACAACTTATTCATGCTGCACGGCATTCCTGTCAGCAAAAGGGAATTTATGACTGTTTTGGCGAATATAAAAAGACTCCTTATAAGAGCCACATACAGCAATGGGATGAATGCCATCTACAGGTAACTGTTGAAAAAGCATTTTGTTCCCTTTGGTGAGATTCTATCATTCAGGACTGATAGAAGTAGATTGTATTTTCTCTCTTTGTTGCCTTTAATTATATCAGATAATTTTATATCATAGATCAATATCGCTCATTTTGTTAGCTTGTGGACAAATAATATTTCCTAAATGTTTAAAAGAATCATTTCCAACTAACATCCCTAATCTAGAAATAAGAGATAAACTACTAGACTAATAATGACTCAACAGACCACCAGAAGAAATAAATAATACACTGTTTATCATGCAGCATAGGAATCTATTAATTATTATTCAGCTTTCTAATTAAATGATGTAAATAGAGTAAATAATGCACAGTAAATCTATTCTCATAAAATGCTTAATCCAATCATCCACTAACCAAGCGAGATCACATAATCAGTCATTCGGCAGCACACAATCACATTTGTTAAGCATTACCATTTGAGGTACCAAGAACACCCACTCATTTGCCTCAGTTGGTGGCATCCCTGAGCCCTTAAACTATGTAAGTGCTGGTAAGGATTCAGGATACTACTAGCTTCCTACCCATTGTCTGTGTAGGAGCAAGAAGGTGTTGCTTGGCAACTGCAGTCAGAGGTGTAGACTATACTTTCAGGATTCATGGGCAACCATGTTTTTCCAAGTGCTGGGGATTTGAGAGTGCAGGTTCAATTGTCTGTATTTAGATTTCTCCACAAGGTAATTCATTTGTTGAATTAGTCTAATTCTATACATGATGTTTGGGATTAACTTTAGCACCCTATAAATTAATTGATTGAATCAACTGAGTACTTTTTGGTGCTTCTACAATACACGAATTTTCTCAAGGATTCAATTAAGCGTGCTGGATATAGAGCCAACATATATTATTAACAACTGGTACATTAAGAAAAAAGGCACAGAAATAATTAATTCTTTGTATAATTATAGACAGGTTTACTCAAAATTAAGGGCTGTTGATTTCATTGCAATATAAATGAACACCATGTAAGTTTACATCAGTTTAAGCATCATCCAATTTTTTTTTTTTAAAAAAATGCTTTTCTGAAAACAATTGTAATTTTATTCAGTTATACAGCTGCCATCTCATTGAATGATTTTGAGCTATTAAAATAATTGAAAGTAGCAAGAGCAGAAAATAAATACATACCTGAGATAAAACAATAGTATAATAAGTCTAAAAATGAATATATTTTGTGTAGATTTTACTTCTGTATATTTAGTTATCTGTTTTTTTTTACTTTTTGAATTTTGCATGCACTTTCATTTGCAATTTTTGTATTGACTTGTTTTGCACAAAAAAATGTGCAAAACTAACAAACTGAATAGAAAGAAATTGAGAAAGCCTTTAAAACTGTAACAGGTTGTTCTGATGACCTAGCACTTCAGTATAAATACAAACCATTCAGCTCGTAAGTTTCTTCACAGCTTTGTCTTAACCTTTCATTGCTTCTCTTATTTCTTTGCGCATTCCACTTGAGCCTTCTCTACTACATCTCTTCTACCTTCACTGATGTCAAGGTCTTTGATCCCTCAGCAACTCCTGCTTCTGTTCCTTGTTTTTATTCTTTTCTGCACAGATTTGGCTTCCACAACACATATATACTGTTTCACCTTTCTTACTTTTCAAAAGCCTGCTCTAAAAGTAATCCAATTTTATGCCGGTGTCACCTTTTTTATACTGTAAAATAGCTAAAAAATCTATTTAATGTATCCAGGGCTAAACATAACATCAGACATATTTCCTCCAAGGGATTGTCAAGGCAGTACAACTGCTTGAAGACCCCTGGAATATAAGAGAAGGTATCCTGCATTGTCTAGAAGAGGCAATTGATAGTGTCTGTAGTGGGCTTTGTTTGACGACGCTAACTTTCCCTTTAAGAGTAGTCCTCTTCAGAGTTTCTTAGTCAGCCCAGATTATATCAACTAGAAGGTTACTTTTCTGTAACAACGCAACTCTCCTTAAGGCAGTTTCATTTAGTTGCTGTCAACTTTTTCTTTTTCTTTCTATTCTGAGGTCACATTTTCTTCAGTTGTAGAAAGAAAGTCACAGATACAAGACTGCTATTCTACTTGTATCCAGAACAATCGCCTATATTGGAAATAAGTTACATGATTTCATTCTATTTTGTCATCATATACTAATGTTCAAAATGGGGGAAAAATGAATATGGTTGGAGTGGGATCTACCTCCATTCTAAGGTCCCATTTTTAAAATTAATATTCTGACATAGCTAGGATCCATGCACTAGATCACGGTCTCAACTCGTGGCATCAAGTTGCCGTCACGTGAGATATCATGATATTTTTCCCCTTCATGGAGCTGGGGTGGCCAGAGGCGGCCAGTTTGACACCCCTGCAAGATCAAGATCAAGATTTAGATCAAGAGCTTCCAAACAATGTGTCTCCAAATCGAATGTCCCAGAACTGGGTAGAATTCCATAAGAAACTAAGAGGGAACCACCCCCCTCCCCCCACAAAACCATTTTAATGCAACCAAGGGATTTCCAGCCATTTTTCTATAGTTCATTGGAAAAGGCAAAACTTGTCTGCTGACATTCAGAAACCTTCCCTCCTCCAGGAGCTGTTCATGCTCATGAAGAATCATCATTTTTATCTACAATACACATGATGATACCTGTGCATTGGTAGATCCCTGCACAAACAGCATGTTCAATAGAGAAAGTTGGCGATGGGAACAGAAGGCATTACCTTGATAGACACCATTTATATGTTTATTTTTTTCTTATTCTGAAACTTTAGCATAGGGTGTAATAGAAACAAAGATGACTAATATAAACAATGGAGGAAGCTCCCATCTCAGTATGAAGTTCCTTCATACAGATAGTGTTATGGTTCGCCGGCAGCAGGTGAGGACGGCTGAGATCTTAGAGAGCAAGGACTCAGATGAGGGGCCTGTGTGTGATGCAGGGATGGGACCTGAACTATCAGAGAGTGGAGTGCTGCCTTTGGAGCTTGTGGAGGCTGGCAGCAGTGATACAGAGGACCCCGAGGAGCCTATGCCCAATGCACATGTGCGCAGGGCTGCTCAAAGGAAAGAACAGCTGCAGCAGCACGGGCAACTCAGGAGTAAGGCTGCAAGGTGATGGCCCCTCCCATAAGGGATAAAAGCCAGCCCTCAGAGGTGGGATTCTTTGCAGGAAGCAAAGAAGTTCTTGTACTTCAAGTCTTGTGGAAGTTCGGACTATTCTGTTTGTGTTTGGAGACTTTTGGTTTTGATTATTTGATTATTGCAATTAAATCTAGCATTTTTGGCAGCCTTGCACAATCTTGGCAAGGCTTGTTCTTATCTGGAACAATTAGTTTTTAATAGAGTTTTACTGTGAATGAATGGAATTCGCAGAAAAGCATTAAAAAGGTTATGCTTTTATCTCTGTTTGGTGCTTGTTTGCTTTGAACGAGGCTTGGGTCAGAACAGATAGTCATCAACTTACAGCCCTAATTGGGTCCAGAATTTCATCGCTAAGCAAGTCAATTATTAAGTGAGTCATACCCAATTTTACAATCTTTCATGCCATGGTTGTTAAGCAAATCACTGCAGTTATTAAGTGAATCACATGATCGTTAAGTGAATTTGACTTCTCCCATTGACTTTGCTTGTTGGAAGCTGGCTGGGAAGTTCACAAATGGCATGTTCATAAGATCCCAGGACACTGCAATGCTCGTAAGTGCATGCCAATTGCCAAGTGTCCAGATCTGGTTCACATGACCATGGAGATACTATAAGAGCCACAAACGTGAGGACCAGTCATAAGTTACTTGATTTCACAGCTGTTGTAATTTTGAATGGCCACTAAATTAATGGTAATAAGTCCAGGACTAACTGCATGTTTTTGTTACTTTATCAATGTGTATCAGATGATCACAACTCTGTCCTTTGGTGCTCCAAGTATAATCATTAAAATGGGTATCACTGGTCTTTGTTGAAAACATGCTGATAAATCATCAAAGCATTTTAAAATGCATTGAAATATACATACATAATTAGCACTTAACAATAGCACTTAGACTTATATACCTTTACAGCCCTATCTAAGCAGTTTACAGAGTCAGTATATTACCTCCAACAACCTGGGTCCTCATTATACTGACCTCCGAAGGATGAAGGGCTGAGTCAGCCTTGAGCTGGTGAGAATCGAACTGCTGCCAGTGAGCTGAGTTAGTCTACAGTACTGCATTCTAACCACTGCGCTACCACAGTTCTTAAACAATTGTTGAACTTATTCAAAAGGCAACACATTTTTAAAGAGAAAATGCATTACTGTTATGACCAAGTCACACTTTCTCTGGCCTGGATCTCTCAGAGGCAGTGAGACGTTCCTGCCATTTTTATTTTAGGCTACAAAAAGTCCATTTCCAAAGTTTAAAAGGTCAGTAGTAGCTTTGTAGCCCATGTTTAGATTTCAGTACTTAAGGGGAATTGAAACAACTCGGTGAATTCAACTAGGGAATAATGTTGCGTGAAATGTAGACAATGTGACCTAGAAGCTTTCCAATAGTATCATATGGTGCTGGTGATTTCTTTCCTTTCTTTTTAATCTCAGGATACAACAATTAATGTAATAGCAGACCGTAAACTGCACTGCTATTGCTTCAAAAGCTGCATCTTGTTTAATCTCGTTTGCATTTAGAAGTCAACAGTGTCTGCCACGCTAGCAATCATATTAAATACTTGGTCTAGATACTTGAATTTCTCAAGTATCTCCAAGATCCAGTATCCCATTACTGCCAACATTATGTACTTTAATGTCTGCTGAACGACACAGAGGATTAGAAATTACTACACTGAAGTGAGGAAAAATTGCACTGCAGCTTTTTTCAATGAATAAAAACTGTTAAACACATTAAAATACCATTTACCAAATAGCAGAACCTAATGAAAATTGGGACCATTCAGTGAATACAAATGTGGAATAATTCTGAGTGAAATGTTCTGTGTGTAACTGTTTCTCATTGC